TCTGTATGAAAAAATAAATCTCGCAAAACTAGATTGGTATTGTAATAAATATTTTATTACACATGATAAATGACGTCACGACATTCCAAAGACAAAAAATAGTAAGGGCGTGTCAAAATAATTATCATCCTGTCCTTATCCCACTTACGTAGAAAAATGAAATAAACGCCAAATGAATTATTGTAGTACTATTCAACATCTCGCCATAAACTGCTCTATAGTTTTTTTCCTTTATATTATTAAGGTTAGTTTTACAGTTGTTTTACAGAAAGCATTACAAACCGTGGGTTTCTGAGGACCCCGCTAAAAAATATCGTTATCTCTGTTTTGTCAAAGATAATGACAGGGATGACGATATGTTTTATACAGAGATTTTAGTCTCAGAAACCAACGGTAATTATCATAATTGTATAATACTTCTTTGTTTAATTCATTTATCACGGATCCCCATTATAGTTGTTTTTTAAGAGAGATTTTTTAGAGTTGGTTTATATTAAGTGAATAATTTTCGAACTGCATCTATGTTATTCTAAAACAAGGCAATTTCAATTTTACCGTTGTTTATATATATTTAATAATCAAGAGGATACACCTTGTCAATGGAAATTAGTTTTTTCCCGCAGACTCCGTGATTTACAGATTTTATTGCCTAAGAAGATAACTGATACTGTCGGCTCGCTTTGATCTTGACATTTGGGTACATCTTTAAAATTTTAAATAGGGTTAATAGTTATATCTTAGAATTAATCAATTTTGACGAACATACAAGTTTTAAACATACAAATTCATAAAACTTAATGCGGAATTAGTGATCGAGATAAGAAATCTTTTAATTAGTATAATAATTTAAATTTTATACGCATTCATTCAAACATATTTACGTGATCTTTAGAATACTACTAGCTATTGCACGCGACACCGTCCAAGCTGATTTAAATAAATATAATTAGTAGCTTCTGTGTTCTTCTAATGTTCTATGTGCATGCCAAATTTGATCGTGATCTGTTCAACCGTTCTAGATATACCTTCAAATAATCCATCCATCTAAATATTCTCATTTATATTAGTAAGATTAGAATTAGTAGTAGCAAACGGGAAGGCGGAGATCGATTCGAAAGCTTTTGATTTCGATTAGCAAATATCAGATTACGTAAGGAAAGTGAAATTACCTCACATTTAATATTGAAAGTTATTCTATGAAATAAATTAACATCGATATAATTTATCTACGTAACTGTTATTCTACTAAGTACTTATTGCAAAAGTGTGAATATTATTGTGGGTTTCCACTGACGAAACACTACATAAACAGCAAGCAAAACAAAGGAGACAGTAAAATGATTGGTACAAGTATTTTGGGTTTGAAAACACACGGTGAAAGCTGCATTTCCTAGAGTTTTGTTTTAAAGGCATATCAGTTATTTGTAAACGGATCTTATCCTTTTACTCATATCTTACTAATATTATAAAAGCAACTATTTGGATGGATGTTTGTTTGAAGGTATCTCCAGAAAGGCTGCATCGATCTCGCTGAAATTTGGCACGGATGTAGAACATAGTATGGATGATCACATAGGCTACAGATTAAGTTTCTTTTTCCCGCGTAGATGGATACGCGGCGACAGTTAGTTGTATAATGAGGTTTGAATCTAAGTAGAGTAAACGCATAAATAACGTGAAATAAACAGTACGGCACACATTTCCTTTCACTTGAAACAACAAATTCACACATTCATTGTGTTTACGAGCAATTAAATAGGTGCAGCGCTGGAGGTTTTGGAAACCGGATTGGTATTACTTTCGATGATTGAAACCGAGCTGTATTGAGATGTATTGAAGTATACCAACCGTTAGGATTCCAAGACGGGGCGTCACATAGAATCTGCATATTCAGAATCTGAGAATAGGTGAATTTAATTCCGTTATACTGTGCCATTCATCTCACGTAGTATCGTAAATTCTGGTAAAACGAGCTAACCAAATGTTTTATTCATGATGAGTACACATTAACTCTGTCTGCTCACTATTCTAAGACTATTAACCTTGAAGCGAAATACACTAACAGTGATTTACAAATAAAGCTCGAAGAAAACGCAAACCCAATTGTAAATTATTTGGTAGCTTGTTTGCAAGCACCCTGTAGTTTTTATGACAAAGGTTTGTTTTACAAAAAGGTGTAGTTTACGAAACCGAAAACGTTATTATTAAAATCTATGTAATTTGTTTTGAGATATTTATATAAATGTAAGAAAGGTTAAATCGTCATATTTTCGACCAATGAATCTGTAGTATTCCGTTGTGCAAGTCATTCCCGGACACCCTGTAGTTTGCAGATGTAACAAGAATTCTTAACTGTATTAAAAAACTAAAAGTAAATCGTTTTCACAATTTCATTTTAAAATAACTCAGAAAAACAAAGAAATATAAATAAACCGAATTCAAAAATAACATAACATCGACGTGGATCAAACCAATGTCAATCGAGACAATTACAGAACCACAATACAAAACTAGGTCAGTCGGTAATTAACCATAGATAATTGAGCCCAATGTACACGACACGCACAATGGCTCTCACGTGGTTGTCTTCACACGAACTTTCTCAAGTCATCACACAGGACGAGTGTTAGACGCTTGTCGGAACACTTCATAACATAGGACTTAATGAACTCTTGTATCGCTTTGATTTTAAATGCAAAAGGAAAAAAATACTCCTGCATTGGATGGATGGATATTTGTTAGAAGTTATCTCCGGCTGCAGAGATCTCGCTGAAATGGCATGAAGGTAAAACATAGTTTGGTAAAACAGGTCGACTACTCATTAATTTTTATCAAATTTCGAGTCGCGGGCGACAGCTAGTAAGTTATATTTGAGATATGTTACATCATTCCAGACAACACGAAGTAAAAAAAAAGAATAATAAGGCGTCGTAGTATTGCAATATTATTTCATTTTGTTCCAACATATTCTGCAATATCATTATGTTGAATTACGTATTCTTATCCGTGTTGGAAATCAATACGAAACAAGAGCCATTGTTAGCTCCTAGGTCAGCTTGTAACGTCGTGATACTAATTTCATTCTGCGGTTTGTTTTGAATTGTTATTCCAGTTTGATCTTGATGCACTTGCAAATTATTTTATACCTTTCATCGTTATTTGTAAAAGATTTTTTTAAACTTCGTCATAAATTAAAATTATGATTTTGGCTTTGATAAATTGGTTAAATTGGTACCAAGCGAAAAGTACTGGTAATAATATACGTCAACTTATGTATAACATATTTGAACTTCAATAGAGTGATTTGATGCGACTGTTATCTAGTGTACTTACTATCCGCATAAAGTGGAAGCAACGTTTAAATAAGCCATCCTTATGAATGGGACTGGGAAAATGCCATTATAAATGTATTAGTTTATGGGCAATGTTATGATCTCTTTATTATAGACTATTATAAAAGGAAATCTAAGCTAGTAAGCAATCATTGAAATATGTTTACGGACAACCACAACTTTATGTTGCTAAAGCGGTTTTCTGTTTGTTGACATCTCAAAAGAGCTTATGTCACACACACACACAAGATAAGAGTCTAACGAACATTGGAAAAAATCTATTATTGAAAATAGTAGCATATCGTACCGTACTGGCTACTGCCGTACCGACTACCACCCGTACCGGGCGTACCAAGCTTATCCGTATGTTTTTACGGCGCGGTCCAGTTGCGGGCGTGCAATATGTCCGCTATGTGTGTATGTGTGCCGGCGGACGCGCGTGCGATGCGATGCGCTCAAATGGAGCGGACGTTGGCGACGAGAAAGTCGCGAGCTTCTTGTGATAGCGATACGTGCGCCCGCTTGCCCGACCTCCGCAAGGACGGGACGATTCTGGTTACTTAACGTTCTAGGTTGCCTTTTTGTTGTCAAGCGGAGCTAGACTAACATAGTTTTGAAAAGTTTGTTTTATTATCCGTTGGTTTCAGAGACCAAAATATCTGTATCTGACATATCGCCATCCCTGTTATTATCTTTTACAAAACAGAGATAACAATATATTTTAAATGGGGAATTTGGTCTCAGAAACCTAAGATAGGTTAGCTAAATCATCACAGTCTTTATTTAATACTAAAAAAATATTCAATTATAAAAACAATGATTTCAAAAAGAGTTCATGTTTATCAAAACATGTCTGCCTTTCAGAATTTTAGGTTAAATCTTTTCAGCCACACTATAAAGTTATTTTCAATATGATTAACCAAATTGAATAATATTATATTTAAATGCAGTTAAAACATAATTTATTAATTAGATTACCTTAAAACACGACCAAATAATTTCAGAAGGAGATTTTTTTACATTAATTTAACAAATTTTAAATACAAAGTAGTATAGTATACAAGAAGTATATAAAACTAGATTAGAACTAGATTATGTTAAATAAAAACCTATATCATGTTAAAACCGTTCGCCGAGATCCACATTTTTTTTCATAAAATGAGGTTGAACGATGGAAAAAGCGGGTCTAAATGAAGATTCATTTTCATTGCGAGAAAACTCAACTCTGTCTTTATAAATTACAGTTTACTCTCGACTCTATAGAAATTCGTTTGGCTTTCCTCTTCGTTTGGGAAATACATTAATATGTTTGAAAGTAATTATTAATATATTAATAGATATTCGTCTGAAATTTCTAACCCTTGGTACCAGTACAGCGTTAAACTTATTAGTTAGCAGCGCAAAAATAAATTTGAAATTAAAATATTCAAAATATTATTTAAATACTAGCTGTCGCCCGCGACTCCGTCCGCGTGTTTGTCTAAAAAATAAAAAATAAATTAAAGGTGGACTACCCTTCACATTTAGGGGGATGAAAAATAGATGTTGGCCGATTCTCAGACCTACTCAATATGCTCACAAAATTTCATGAGAATCGGTCAAGCCGTTTCGAAGGAGTATGGGAACGAAAATTGTGACACGAGAATTTCATATATAAGATTTACTTACATTAACCAAGGCAAGCATTAACCAGATGACGGTCGTCCTTGATATGTGAGATGAGAGATGTGCCGACATTTTGGACCTGCAAATGAAAAGTAATGTTAGTCAGTCTGTCATGACAACCCTTACATGAAAAGTGAAACCTAAGCTCTTATACATTGTTAGATACCTCTACCAATTAAAGTACAGTCGAGGACATTAATTTCCTACCCACTTTAGTAAAAGTTTCTTATTATGTGGGAAGCGAATTAAATTCTTTAACTATACCTGACTTACGGTTTCCAAATATAAAAGTATTATTGTAGTATTGGATCATTGGTATTGTTTGTTTTATCAACACTTCATTACTATGTTGCTTAGCTATGCTGTACATCCAGTCTTGGATAATTCACAAGGCTATAAGTGAATTTATAGAATTTACATAAGTGAAAATATCTGAATAAATATACAGAGTAAACTAGTTTGGTGAGGCGCCGCGTTAGGCGAACATTGCTTTCTCGACGTGAAAACGATTACGGCCAATGTTGCTACATAATTTTCAATATTCTCGTATTCTAGACACTTTTTATTTAAATTAATCAATTAAGAATCCATAAACTACGGAATGTAGAACTTAATTGTGTGACTTACTTCGGGTAAATATAATATAGGTGTCAAATAAAATTTTATTACCTCACACATTTTTATATTAATAATTATATCCTTCCTTTAATTTCAACAGTCGGTTTCCACTGTTGTAAACGAAATCCACGATTATATTGACAAAAGAAAGTACATATATATGCTGCATAATTATTGCATACATTTAAAATGCCACGACCACTGCATCTCTTAATATCAGTAAAGACATTCTTTTAATATATTGTATAAATATTATCGGCTTACACAACATTAGGCTAAAATTACTTAAGAACTTTCTCCGTGTTCAAAACGAATCGATAATGTTTACAAAAAATACTTACACCAATCTATGGCACTTAAGAATTTGACACCATTCCTTTTGTAAATAGAAATGTGACAAATATTTCAGTTGGGCTCAATGGAAATATATGATTTCCAATTAATTAATAATTCAACAACATGCCCATAACATAACACATAGGGGTAGGCAGAGAGTACAGATTCCGACAAGGCGGTGGCATGATACACATATATCGCTACGTATACATTCAATAATTCTTATGAAGCGCTGGATTAATCACTCAGTGACACCCTTAGTGTAATTTTCTAGTGCTAAATTTAACCTAACAAGATGAAAAGAAAAGCAAAAATTGCTAGTAAAGTTTTATGACTGACAACAACCACATCATTATATTATGGTCTTCGATATCATGAGTAGAACAATAATGTCATTATAACTATACTGTTGTAATGAGATTGTCGGAGAAATCTTTTATTTTATCTCCTATTTTAATGGAGAAAAAAAACAATAACTAGCCAATTATTTATCGTTATGTGGTCATGATATTTTACTTCACATGATAATGTCACTATTTTTATCGTCTATTTTTATTTTTAGTTAGTTTTTTTTCATTTTCCCTCTTTCTCTGTCCACTCTGTTCTTATAAGGAATGGATGGGAAGGAGAAGTGTATGAGGATGCATAGAAACGGGAAATATTCTCTTTCTGTGCGTCCTGTCCTCCGTCGATTTAAAGTTCGCAGGGCATCTGCGATTGCGGATGTCAATGAGCAGCGGTCGCTTCGCTCGTTTGCCACATAATAATATTAAAAAAAGAAAACAATTGATAGGCGTTTTATGGGGCCTAAATAGTCATTGAAGTAGTACGACTAGTCTAGTCGTAATAGGGCTATAGTTTTCTTAACAAATTCCGCGCATTTTAAAGAGAAGAAGTAATTGAATGTCATCATTAAAGTTATGCTAGAATATTTGTAAGGTAGTTTACTCGTGTGATAGAATAATATTATAACAAAGTTGTAACATTAAAAAGACTAACACTGGAAGTGAACAGCTCACTAAAAATAACTTGTAACACTGACAGCTATAAAGTATTACACGTATTAACATTGTAACAAGATGTCTTAAATTATGTTAATGTCAGCAGTATTAAATTAGAAATATGTTATCAATATTTGTAACATGAACACTTCGGAAGGATTTTAATGTTACATATTTTTAGGATAGTGAGGCAAGTAGCAGCGGGAATCGCAGATGCGTAGCCAACCTTTGAATAACGGTATTTGTGTTTGTTATTTAAAGTTAGTAAACAGTAATCGATACTACATGACGATAACAAAGTATTAAATTACATGAATGGTCGCATAAAAAGCGAGATAACTTGTTTTACATGTTTCAGCCTTAACATTATTATCAGTTTTTTTTATATATCATAAGGTGGCAAACGAGCGAACGGCCACCTGAAATCGCTGAAATAGCGAAGTGACCACTGCCCATAGAAATACGCAATTGCATATGCGTTGCCTACCTTTAATCGCCGGAGGAGAGGATGCACAGAAAGAAAAAAAATCCCTTTCTATGCATCCTGTCATCCGGAGAGTCCCCTTCCACTTCCCATCCCATCCCCATAAGAAAAAAGGTGCGAAGGGAAAGAGGACTAAATTAGGCCTCCGGGACGCACACTCATCAGACGAAACGCGGAATTGCTTCCACTTCACGCCTGTGTTCTGTGTGGTCAGTTATATTGAGAAGACAATTCTTAGCGTAAGATTCATTATATTAAGTCTTGAATAACAATTCTAAGTCCTAATGACATTACTAAAAGCAAATATGTGTATTTCTCTATTAGCAACTCGGAATGATTTGCTATAAAGTCTACGTATTTGTGATAACTTTACCGTTGATTTCTAAGACTAAAATCTCTGTATAAAAATACCTTTATCTCTGTCATTGTCTTTGACGGAAGGGGATTTATGTCTCAGAAACACACGGTTAATGAAGTACATGTCTGCTGGTATTACGAATTAATAAAATATTCGATCGAATTGTCAAAATATATAATTCAAGTTTTTATTTAAAAAGAAATACATTTAACGAATCGAAATAACTTGTTTTCAATAAGCACAGCAAATTGGACATTGATGTAAAAGCGCATAACCTCAAAAAAGACATGCGGTCGCGATGGGAATATTTTAACAATTTTTTTGCGAGATACGAAAGTGCATTATTAGAAGACATTGGAATGCGTTTCGAACGCACGCGGCGTCCCACCTCGCTTCATTGGCTCGTAATAAGACATTTACGTCGATAATTTTATCGCAAACGTATACTTTAGAAATCTTACTTAAGTCTTACTAATATTAGATGTGAATGTTTAGATGTTTATTACAAGGTATCTCCAGAACATCTGCAAGGATCTCGCTGAAATTTAGAATAGAGGTAAAACATAATCTGTAAGGACACATAGGTTAATTGTGTTCTTTTTTATTTAATCCCGCGCGGACGACATTCCGGGCGACAACTATTATTATATAAAAAGACCCTGTTACTATTATCATTGAAATTCTCTTTCTAAGTTGAAAAAAAAAGTTATTTGAAATTTAGTGATGTCTAGAAAAGAGCTTTCGTAAACTAGTTCTTAAAGACTATATTGCCCTGACCTTCGAAACAGTTACTACACTATTTTACCTTTAAATGCATATGCCCAGATATTGATTATATTTTCTTCATTCATTTCGAAGCAATAAAAAAACCTTAACGAAGGTACAATAAATTTCAAGCAACAGGCGTGAAATTTTTTTATAGCATATAACTTATATTCAACATATATGGGGAGTAATAAATTCCTTCTCAGACATTGAATGTAAGCTTAATGAATGTCGTAACAACGTTCAATTAAACTATACGGAAGTTGTTAATATTGAAATTATTAAATTTTCATCAAAGAATTAACTACTTACTAATATTATAAATGCGAATGTTTAGATGGATGAATCGATGGATGTTTCTTTGAAATAATCTCCGGAACAGCTCAACGGATTCTGGTGAAATTTGGCATAGTTGTAGAACGTAGCCTGGAACAACACGCAGGTTACTTAATAAGTTTGTTTTTAAATCAGCACGGACGAAGTCGCGGGCGACAGCTACTATCAATTAAAGACTAAATAAGAATTTCATTTTACTCTAAGAACCCTCTTCCAACAATACCTTATTGCCTTCTTCCCTTATAACAAAGGTTGGGTTGGTTAGGACCTAGGATTTGACCTCTGTAAAGGCGATTTTTGCTGTCAAAGAATTTAATTCCCTTGCCACTAACAATCAAATATCGTACACCTACCACCATAAGGGCTTTAATTAAGTATTGATAACAACAATAGACATTTCATAAAAAAAAATGTTTTCAGATATCTTGGCGGTTCGTAACTTCGCGTGACACACGTACAATTTACGGTGTAGCGGAGCGTTGCGCGATACGGGGGACACTGGGCAGCGAGCCCGTGACCTTGAGCCGCTAAGATATTTGAAATGAGTTATATCGTTAGTAAAAATATTGTAACTTACCAGCCACTATATTTCCGACGACTCGTGTTCTTCGTTCTCCAAACAATCATTATCAATAGTCACAGCACTGTCATATGTGAACAAAACACAATTGTCACCTTCTGTCTCTTGTGTTAGACAAACTATTGTCACAGAACATATCCCCTTTGTGTTACACTTCACTGGCCTAAGTGCTACTCTAAGTGTTGATTCTTGTTATCTGTAAGAAAAGAAAAAACGTCTTTAAAATAATTATTTTATCATTTTACCAATCAACAGAGATGAAAGCTCTTATTATACATTTTTTTGATTATTTTCTTTTTAAATACATCTTACTTCTTACTAATATTATAAATGTTTGGATGGATAGATGGGTGTTTGTTTGAAAGTATCTCCATAACGGCTGAACGGATCTTAAGAAATTTGGCATACATATAGAACATTGCTTGGAAGAACACATAAGACGGAGTAGCGGGCGACAGTTAGTAGTTTTTATAAACTGCCAAAAGAAATGTATTTATATACACAGGTCATAATAACGTTTGTGGATGACTGAAATGGCCCGAAAGTTTAATGTCCAATGCATACAATGTGTTTATTGTTTGACCAAACATCGTTAGAATTGCTAAAGAAATATATTATGCGTAGGAAAGCTTTTAGTGAAAACACATTGGTGCCTAATAACGTACAATGGTCTTTCGCTGCCTGAGAAAGTGTTTTAACTAAAAATAAATGACAATATTTTTATATGTTACTTGTACAAGCAATATTGGCTTTTAGATAAAATACATTTAAAGCTTACAATCGCTTCAATTAAAGAAGTCTCATGATTAAAAACGCCGAAGGCATCGTTTTAACAATAAGCCATTGAAATTGAATATGAGTTGTATTAAATAAAAGTAAAACTAAAAAATCAAGTAGCAGTTCGTATGATTTAGTCAATGCCACTTCTATATTTGATGATCTTTGTTTTGATTTTTTTTTTAAATGGATATTAGAAGTAAGGATCGAATCATAATATTTTGTTATTGTGGAATTAATAAACAATTAAATTCAAACATAAAATCTATATATATAAAAGAAAGTCGTGTTAGTTACGCTATTTATAACTCAAGAACGGCTTTACCCATATGGTTGAAAATTGATGAGGAGGTAGCTTAGAGCCAGGAGACGGACATAGAACACTTACTATTTAAACTTTTTTTTCTTCGAATTTTATTTAACTTACTTATAATATAAATGCGAATGTTTAGATGGATATGATGTGGATGGATGGAAGGGTGGGCTACACTAAGTTTTTTTATATATCCACGCGGACGGAGTCGCGGGCTAGCTAGGGCAGCATAAAAGTAAACAAAAACAATACTACTAAATAAAATATATGTACAATTTGAGAAATTTTTTAAATAGTTAATTAACTTTTAATAGTAATTAATTAGTTAAAAAAATAATTAAAACGTAAAAGGTATTTCAAAAACGAAAAAGAAAGTTTTACGTAATCGATACCAATACATATAATAATTTTTGGAAACGAACATAAAACACCGCTTAAATTTTTCATTTTAATGACAATTTCGAATTACATATTCAAAAATTCTTGAAATTTTTACACATAAAAAATATATAATATATTCTATGTGGCCTAGTTTTTGATACAGGTTCCTTTGAAATATTTCTTTTATCAATAATTTATTCCCAACCATCGGTACACGTAATACCATGGTTCGAAGTTAACTTATTTTTACCATATTTATTTTCACAAATAACCGGCACAAAAAAATTAAGTTTGTTTTTAAATGAAAATCCCATTTTTTCTTTATTTGAATCACATTAATTAATATAATATGCAATGAAAATTATTCAAAATGTAAGTATTAAAAAAAATACGGTGCATATAAAAAGCAATAAGTATGCATCGTACACATATTCCAGTTAGAAAACTAAAACTCAAACGATGAAAACAATCTGACGAGTGATGAATGCAAATGAACGTTTTCCAACAGATTATAAACCGTTTAACCATTTAATTATTACTGTTTGAATGTATCTTTACATTTAAAATAATATTCCCAACACTAGAAAGAACTTTAAGTGCTAATATTACGGTTGAAGAACATACATAACACTGTCATACGTGAGATTTTATGTTCAAACATAAGTCTCATCCAGTACTTAGAAACCCACATTAAAGTAGCTACTTGTATCACGTTAGAAGCATTTCTTATGTGCGCAGAATACAAAAATAGACCTAATTGTGTTTTAAACGGTAGACAGAGAGGTGTATAATCGCTTGACATAGACTACACAATGTGGCCTACTGCGAGCTTCGGATCGCGACGGTTCTGAAAACTCGGCAAGCGGGGCTTTGCGACCGTACGCCGTCGAGTCCGTATAGCTTGTAACGGTACACACAGGTGACTGCCGATAGCGCCGACAGACTCACGCTCATTTCTACGTATGAGGTGGCAAGAAAAAATAAACGTGATATTAACACGAAGTCAGATACGTACTACATTGATAGAGATTCCTACAGTTCAGTGCTTTAAATGAACGAAGTATCTATACATTATTAAAATTGAAGTGTCTGAATGTAACGTACACATGTATTTGCGTTGCTGAAAACGAAAAAAATATTTAAAAAAAAATTAAATTGTCCGTGTACCTGCATATCTGTCGGCAAGGCCGCGTTTGTTTCGGGTAATCTATAGAACGGCTACACCGATTTTGATGGGACTTGGACAGGATGGTAGCTGAAGCATGCGGGCATATTATTTTTTTTCTTAAATTCCGCGCTCAAAACAACAACTTGACCATGATTAATATCTTGACAACAGCGCAGTTGGATAGTTGTTGTGTCCGGGAAACAAAGGGCAATTAAAACAGCCCGTAGATAACCACTGCACTCTTAGAAAAAGATCGTCTCATCTCGTGTGTAACTTTTCCGAGGATTATAATAAGAATTTCGTTGAAAAAAAAATTGTATATGAAAACTACATATGAAAGTTTTGATTCCAAATAAGACTATGACTGCATAATAAAGGAATTCCATGACATGTAAGATGATGTGACCAGAATCGAGAGCGGTATGCGTCGGTGACTTTGACGTGCAAAAACTTGTGCGCGTTTCGACTGCCAATAAATTTAGTGACAACCAGATTGGTGACATACTACAGACCAAATTCCTCTTACTTTGATATATATATTTATACACTAGCTGTCACCCGTGACTCTGACCGAATGAAAATAAAAAAAAAAACTTAGAAGCCTACGTGCTCTTCTAGACTATGTCTACTTCTATGCCAAATTTCAACGACATCCTTGCAGCTGTTCTGGAGATACCTTCTAACAAACAACCATCCATCCATACAATCATTTGCATTTTTAATATTCGTCAAATTTAATGTTACATTAAAATTTTTAGTTGCTATATTTTAATGCATTAGAGACATCATAATTAAAGCAAGCGAAAAAAACTTCAAAGTTTAGTGAACAAAGCTGTGAAAACTTTTTAATGCCTGTGAAATGGTTGTCTTCGAATGCATTCAATTTTAACTGCCTATTCTTATCTCAGTTAAAAGTTCGACGTCAAAAGGATGGGTGAACTGTAATTAGATTTTTTATCTGTAGAAAATGCTTAGCGGCTGCTGAGAGCGGCGATATTATCATCAAAGAGACGTCATAAACATTTAACGCATGAGAGACGAAAGCGGAACGAAATTGGATAGTCCGGATCAACTATCGACCCACCAGGAGCGATACGTGCTTTAGACAAGATACAACAAAACTTTAATAAGGATATGAAAAGCGTTGAACATTATCTTCTGCAATCTGTACTTAAATTTCACGACTACGATTTAACGCTTTTTAGTACTTCTAGTTTAATATTTTAATTTACAGAATTACTAGCTTCAACCCACAACTCCGTCCATGAATTAAAAGAAAGATTAGTAAGTAACCTATGTATTCTTCCAGACTAAGTTCTACATATATTCCAAATTTCATAAAGATCTGTTGAGCCATTCCCGAGTAATCTACTAACCAACATCCATCCATCTAAACTATCGCATTTATTATATAAGTGAAATATGTTGCATTTTTATGTTTTTATCTATGGTCTATTAATTTTAATTATTAAATCATTTTGAGTTATTAATAAGGGTTATTTCTAGATACTGGATTGTTAATTGCTTTTTACTACTTCGTAAGTATTCATTATACAAAAATACTTTATGATGATGTCTCTTTATAATTGCTATCTACTGTTAGATCTGGTTACGACTGATCATAACTTCACATATACATACTTGTTTAGGTTACGCCTTAACGACTTTTCTAAGAATATATGTTATAGAAAACTTTCTCATTTATCAGTTAAATCATCATCATCAGCTTACTATACGTCCCCACTGAGGGGCTCGGAGCCTACCCTAAGTTAAGGATGATTAGGCCAGTCAACCACGCTGGCCCAGTACCGATTGTTCGACTGTACACATATTCGTTAAATATAATAATGATAATTAAAGAAAAATGTGTTATGAGTAAAAGATGAATTGTAAAGATAACAAATAGACGGTAAAATAGACGGTTTTACTTTTACTAGCACGACCTCGCGCCCTCTGATCGCATTCCAAACGGTGCATACCAGTAGCTTTTGCAAAAAAAACAGTTGGCCTCCACTGTTGTAGCAGCCGTAGCCTTACTGTTAGTTTATTTGTAACGTAAATTCTACTTTCTTTAAAACGCACACCTTCAATTTTAAGTGCACAATAAATTTCCTTGAGTTATTTGCAAAAGCGGTGCTTTAAGAAAACTTACGAAGACTTGTACCTGGCTCTAATTTTATAATGTGGCCTTAAAAAGAGAAAATGTCGTTAGAAAAATAACAAAAATTTATGAAAAAAAATGTATAGCGTGAAACAAAGCCAGAAGCCCAAATCTGAAATAGTTGTTGTTTCTTAGCGTGTACAAAACTGTAAATATTGTGGCATTGTAAAGGACTCTACTCACTCGCCCCGATCGTTGTCAGTGAAAGAAAGTAAAAAACAACTTCATTTGTATTACTCGTATTCTAACAGTGCATATTACGTATTTGTAAAACGGTATTTCTTGTGTACAAGAAACGCTGTATTTATTAACAGGATATCGGAAATAAATTGCTTGCGGCTCGACTATTAACTTAATGACTTTAAAATATATACAAATATGTAAAATCCGTTCTAT